TCTTATTCTGTTTACCTTGTTTGTTGTCAAAACCCAGGGCTTTTTTTGTAGCAGGAACTCCTTTGCATGTTAGGCCACACACCCCTGATGTAGCCAATCCTAATGGGTTTCTGCTGTTGGGTGTGGCCTATTATGCTAATGAGTTCCTGCTGGGTGTGGCCAACTTGGGAGCCAGCCGGAACTCCGTTCCTGTGCGTTCCTGCCCCAAAATAGCCCCACACATGTCTGCAAACCAGAGGTCATTTCGGGGGGGATCGCGGGGGAACGCAGTTCCCCTGGGTGAGGTGCGGGGGGGTGGGGCACACGACGAAGCCCCGCCCCCTGCTCCCGGCTGCCCTGCTTCCGGCCCTCATTCAGCCAGGAGGAGGCAGGAGAAGAGGGAGGGTAAGTTGTTTCCTCCCCGCCTCTCCCCACCCCTGCCTGCCTGGGGCCAGGGAGGGCCTTGGCGGGGCTTCCTCACACTCCCGCCGGCCTTGCAGGTCCACTGCCGGGCCTTATGATGTCAGGGGGTGTGGCATATGCTAATGAGTTATGCTAATGAGTTCCCCTAGCTCTTTTTCTACAAAATGACCCCTGCTGCAATCTATTTACACCTTTCCCTCTATCGCTACTGAGGGGGAGGGGGACATTTGCGGTGTCGGCTCCAGACACCACAATGCACAAACGTGGCCAAGGAAAGGTTTGCAGCCCAGGTGGAGAAAAACACATGAACTACATGAAGGCGCCTTCTACTGAATCAGATCCCCCCCTTGGCCCATCAAGGTCAGCATTGTCTACTCAGACTGACAGCGGCTCTCCAGGGTTTTGGGCTGAGGTCTTCTACTTCATCTCCTGCCTCGTCCTTTTCAGTGGGAGATGCCGGGGATTGGACCTGGACACCTTCTCCTTGCAAAGCAGGGGCTCTACCACACAGCTGGAACACTCTGTCTGGGGCAGTGATGCTCTGTCTTCTTGGTGCTTGGGGTTCCACCTCCTGATGGCACCTGGGTTTTGGGCACTGTGTGACACAGAGTGTTGGACTGGATGGGCCATTGGCCTGATCCAACAGGGCTTCTCTTGTGTTCATATATGGAGCAGACGTCCATCAGTGGCTATGAGTCACAAGGTATACATGGAACACTCTGTCTGGGGCAAGGGATGCTTTGTATTCTTGGTGCTTGGGGGGGCACAGTGGGAGGGCTTCTGGAGTTCTGGCCCCACTGGTGGACCGCCTAGTGGCCCATGGGTTCTGGCCACTGTGTGACACAGAGTATTGGACTGGAGGGGCAATTGGCCTGATCCTACATGGGTCCTCTGATGTTCTTATGTCTGGGGAAGGGATATTCTGTATTCTTGGTGCTCGGGGGGGGCAAGAGTGGGAGGGCTTCTGGAATTCTGGCCCTGCTGGTGGACCTCCTGATGGCCCCTGGACTTTGGCCACTGTGGGAGACAGAGCGTTGGACTGGATGGGCCACTGGCCTGATCCAACATGGTTTCTCTGATGTTCTTATGTCTGGGGCAAGTGATGCTCTGCGTTCTTGGTGCTTGGGGGGGGGCCCACAGTGGGAGGGCTTCTGGAGTTCTGGCCCCGCTGATGGACCTCCTAGTGGCACCTGAGTTTTGGCCACTGTGTGACACAGAGCGTTGGACTTGAGGGGCCACTGGCCTGATCCAACATGGCTTCACTTATGCTCTGATGCCATTGACTGGGGATGCAAAGGGCATGCAACACAAATCAGTCTGCAACCCAGTTCCGGCTTTCCCCGGGCATTGCAAGGGATCCTTGCCCATTACGAAGGACAGCCATTTGGGGTGGGGCCAGCGACCCCACAGGGCAGCTGGCCCGGCCCCGGTCTCCACGCCCCGATGCCCACCTGTCTCG